TGCCTGTTGAGTGACACCGAGGGCAGTGTCGGCTCAGCCCACGTGCTCTCGGAGCATCCTGGAGACACCAAGAGCCAATTCAATAAATGCTTATTGAGCACCTCCTACACACCACTGGGCCTCCAAGATGGATGTGATGCACCCTCTGTCCTGGAAGCCCCAGGGTGGACACGTGACCCACGGCAGGTGATTCAGAACCATTTGGACAAAGGGTTGGGTGCCTTGGGTGGGGGCAGTCAGGAAGGGGTGCCTAACAAGCTTCGGGTCCATGTGTAAGTCACCTGGCGCTGTGCCTTGGCTCCCCCACCTGTCAGGCAGTCCTGCGTGGTCCAGCCCCTGCCTCTCTGTCACCCTCTCTGCTGCTCTGGTGTCCTGTGGCCTCCCATGCTAACCCCTCCTCGTTAGGCAGGTCTCAGCTCAGTGTCATCTCCCCCAGGAGGCCTGCACACCTCGGCATTCCCTATGGCTCTTTGTTTTGTTTTTTTAATTTTTTTAATGTTTATTTATTTTTGAGACAGAGAAAGAGCATGAACAGGGGAGGGTCAGAGAGAGGGAGACACGGAATCTGAAACAGGCTCCAGGCTCTGAGCTGTCAGCCCAGAGCCCGACACGGGGCTCGAACTCACGGACCGTGAGATCATGACCTGAGCCGAAGTCGGACGCTTAACCGACTGGCCACCCAGGCGCCCCTCCTATGGCTCTTTGTGACACTTGACATCAGGTGCGACAATATGTTTATGTTGCACCTTTTACTCTCTCTCCCAGCCCAGGGCTTGGTGCTGAATACATATTTGATGAGTGAGTGAATGAACAAATGAGTGAGTGAATGAACGAATGAATGAACGAACGAACGAACGAATGAACGAATGAGCAGGTTTGCCAGACCCTGTGGGGCCTTGCTCACCACACCAGTACTGCTCCTGGAGAGTAGAAAGACTGGAAGGTGTTTTGTTTTGTTTTGTTTTGTTTTGTTTTTGTCAAAAGGCCTTCCTGTCACTCTCCCAGGAGGGGTGGGAGAAGAGGGAGGCAAGAGACCAGAATAGAGGCTGTCACCATTGCTTTCCTCTCTGCCTCCCTCCCAGGCCTCACCCCTTCCAAAATGGAGTGTTTTCAGCTCGAAGCCCAGCTCCTCATGAACTGTCATTATAAATAACCTAGAGGTCAGGAGCAAGAAAAATTCTTTGTATTTCTTTTTTCCTCCTTAAAAGATTAGCATAATGAAAAGCTGCTGTACAGGGGTAGGCAAGAGTATGGCATGCCTGAGCTAAGAAGGGCATGGGGTCCTCAAGACTGGAGTCTGGGGCCCAAAGAGAGGCACTCCCAGAGCCCAAGTGTCCCAGTGCCCTTGAGGGCAGTGCTTGATGCCCAGAGTGCTGGCAAAGTGAATGTAGTGAATGTCCTCCTGTCACAGTGTCTGGCCCAGACTGGAAGGGGAGGAGCAGTGGGGGGGGAGAAGCAGCGGGGGGAGAAGGA